ATAGATAAGTCCTCACTGTCCTTCACAATCGATACTTTTCCTTCGTTTGTTTTGATGAATATTTTACAGTCCCTGGTCCAGGTAGCTTCGATTTTGTTCCTCTTCTTCAGGTCTCTCGCAGTTCTTGCAATATCCACGTTCCTTTTCGTGTGGTGCTCGTTAATGTAGATTCCGGTCCCTTTCAGTTTCTTGGCGTTTATCATCATACAAACTTTTGTCTTTCTGCTCACACGTTTTATGATCACCGTTTGGAATCCACTTTCCGACGGCTTCCCAAGTGTGTGGCAGATCTCAATCTCCTCAGACTTCAGGTACACGCCACGTACGTTAAGTGCCTCGAGCACCTGTGTTTTGACCGAATCATGTCCGTCTCCGTCTGTTGAAGACACAGAATCTCCTTTCACTACCTGGGAATATGGTTTTATGATTTTTAATCCGGTCACGATAACATCCTCTTTTCGGGTGTGTTGTTCAAACTCCTCGATCCTTCTCTCCAGCGTGACAATCTTCTCGTCTTTTTCCTTCATTATCCTCTCCATGCTTCCGATCGTTTCCAGCAGTTTTTTAATTGTTATGCTATCATCCTTTCGGGTCTTATTTAAGTCACTTATATCCTTGGTAATGCTGGATAAAGCGTCCTTAATTTCTAGGAGATCAGCGTTCGCTGCGTTTGCAGCATTCGCAGCATTCGCTCATGTCGCCATCTTGTCGCCAGTGATTGGGTTGAACTGCCATAAGGCATAACGCATACATAAGAGGCTAGTGCAGAGCGACATCAGTTCATGGCGAGATTAGAAAGATGTTGCAGGAGTGCCGAGATCGCAAAGTGACTGGAACGCAATTCCACATATTGTACATATAGACGTTATGGAACATTAACCAGGCAGTATGTTACATAATTCGTTTTCAACACTACTTTAAGGCCAATAATTAATTTGCCTGATGCATCACATTATTGTGAGGCACACTCGCTGGCGTTGATGGGATATAAACGGTGGCGTTAAAACCCGGCTCCTCTCAGACTCAACAGACTGAACCAATCTAGCCCCAACACAGAACTACAACGGAATTAATTTGAATGGAAAAGGGGTAAGAAGAACAGACGAAAATTCACGTCACGACTGTAGGAAGTCAGAAGCTTGATGCTTTGAGAAGAGAGTGCTAACCCATGCAGCACAATTCAGGGCTCTGGAACTAGCAAAACGACATAAACAGTCATACAGGTGTCATGCAGGCACATGTACACACCCACACAGTGAGAACAGGTCCAACATGTCCAACCAGATGAAAGCATGTGTGTGATGGGACGATTATGAAGTGACTTCTCTCCCTATATGAAATGGGTGCTTATTGATCATGATCATTGAGCATCAGCACTGATGTAGGAAGTGTAGCACGTCTGTAATTATCCAGATCCTTCATTGTGTGACTGTTAATTCCATGCACATTACTTTATTCTGTCCATTGTTCCACCAGGCACACCTAAAGTGCATTATCTTCCTGTTTTCTGTCTTCCAGCATGGCTTCATTAGCCCGACTGGTTTCCAGTTTAAAGTCCAGAAACCCGTGCCCTGACTATGAAATGGTAAGAATGTTAAGGCCCTTATGAACTGTGAGTGTACTGATACAACAGCTCCTACTATACTGATTATTACAGGTTTTGTGAAACTCAAGCAATAATTGACAAATTCATACAGAGGTGTCTATGTACGTAGATTATTCACACATTACAAATGAAAACCTTAGAGGTTGCGACATGGGATGGAACTGTTCACTCAGAATGACAGTCGCTCATTCACCTGTCAGTGTGACGTGAATAAAACACTCGGCAGTGATGTGATAATGATAAATAAAGTACAGGGACTTTCAAAGTAAAGGCATGAATACAATGAAATACATCAGGGTTGTTTTATTCCCTCTCACATCTGATCTCTCTGCTCTCTCCCTGTGTTCCCTCAGGTCCATCAGGCTGGGTTGACCTGTGACTCGGGGGAGCTGCCGCACCACATCAGCTCCGACGAGGAGATCGACAGACTCATCTCCGCCGTGCAGCTGTTTCTCAAGGCTCTGCCCAAACCCACACTGGTCACCATGTCCAGGTAAATAACAGCATGCAGAGCCTCATGGGAGTTACAGATGTACTTAATAAGAGTCAGAGTTAAAAAAAGAAATGAAATGTGTTTTTGAACGTGTGGTCCAGGTCCAGTCTGGATGAATACTGCCCCGTAGAGCAGGTGGACTCGGTGCAGAGCAGAGTACTGGCTGTACTGGAGAACCTGTACGGACCACTGGAATTACACAGAGACTATGAGAACAGCAGCACAGAGACTCAGGACTGCCAACCACAGGCCTCCTAACACACACACTCACAAACCAGCCTACTGAGACACACACACAAACACACACATTTAATGGATGTACAGTTTGTAATAGACAAGCACTTGAAAAAATGACATGTCAGATACAGTTGTAATGAACTTGAAGTAAATTCATATTTTATGTCCAAAAGCTGGAACATGTTCTGAGACTGTCGGTCATTATTTATGCATGTAATATGTTAACATTTGAAATCTGGTAATATTCTATGTTTTTCATCGTAAACAAATCCCATGTGCAGACTCAGGCCAGCACTGAATGAATATTGGTGCCCTTTTCAGGGAGTTTATATTCAAGAATTTAGAGCAATCCCAGCAGTAATGTTGTCGGTTTTTTCTTAACATTGATAATTGATAAACTACGGTACTATAGTATCTCCACAAATCTACAAACATGCTTACTACAGCTGGGTGCAATACTGAAGGCTTTGTTTCATTTAAAATAATTCCTCATCTGTCTTTAATGTCAATAAACCACAACTTGCAGTTGCTACACAAGAGACTCTTGAAAAACAAAGATAATTTGTCATTAGAGAAAAATCTCCACACATTTGTTTAGCTCACTGTTTTTCTTCATATGGTATAAGAAAAACAGCTCACAAACTGAGACACGACTTATATTTGAACACTGAAACAAATGGGTATTGCTCGCATTTGCGCATAAGATGAGGCCCTACGCACTGCACGTGTTCTGCGTGTAGGGAGGGGTGGCCCTGTATAACTTTTCAAATGTTTTGCTCAGGGTTGTAAGCATTTTCTCTCAGATTATTGTATTGAATACAATACACTTCTATTAAACAAAAACGTATCACTATAATTCCAAACATGTGTAAAATATATATTATCTTAATGCCAATATATGGGTAAAAGTGTATTCAGCAGCCAATAAGAAATGTCATTACAAAAAAAGCAAAGGTATTTTTGAGGTCATGTTAGACAAGGCAGTTTTGAGAAAATAGGATCAAACATGTTCATCTAAAGTGCATAACATCTGGATGAAGCAATTTTCCTGACATGGAAGCACTGATGTATTGGAGAGAAAGTGAGGGAATGATGGTGTTAGTTTCAAGCAAAGGGACACCCTGGAACCTTATCTAAGAAAAAAAGTCTGCTGGTTTATAAGGACCCTGTCCCTGTCCCACTATTAAACATAGACTTAACACAAGTGAAAGATAATGTTTCCGCCCCTAAATCGGACCCTCTCTGAGTTATTTTTATTTTAATTGGGTAGGCCTACTTCCTTTGCCTTTCCCTCTGCTATTCGAGGTCACAACCAGGCTAATTTCTGCCAAATATATAAATATAAATGAAAACGTAGCACTTAAGTCAATAGAGACGTTTGTTGAAGGCGTAGAAGGGGTGTGGGCGTTTACATATTGTGCTTGAAGGCATCAGTTGGTCACGGTTTGTGTTGCTCTGACGGTCAGTGACAGCTAACAGCAGCTAGCAGCTAACAGCGGAGAACAGAGGAGAAGAAGCAGCTCACCAACATGAGGGCCAACAGTTTGAACCGGATTGTACTCATTACCATATGTACCGTGGTGTTCATTGCAGTTTTAATTGTCAACGCTTTGGCTGGAGCGGGAAAGGGTGAGTTGAGTAACCTTGTTCTGACACTTAAATGTTTTGTTTTGCGCTTCGTTACAGACAAAGTTAAGTTCCCTAAAACGTTGGACACATGTTTACTGTAACCTTAACGTCACAATGTTTGTAACATGTTAAAATTGGAATAAGGACTTGTATGTTCTCCTCACCCACTGGTTACGAAACCATTTTCACTGGGAGGGAGACTCCCAGTTAATGTTGTGTTGTGTCGTTACATAAAAACATGAGCACTTATTTCCATGACAGTGCTTGTGTAACTTTGACGTTATTTTAGTTTGACCAACTACTAACTAGAGGCAAAGTATAGTAGTGATTTATAAATATATCAAATACGCTACTCTGTATTTGAAGAGCGTGCGGTTTGTTTCCAGGAGAAAGGATAAGTCACAGATGAGAGAATGCTCTTGCGCAGCGTTAAAAGGTCCGTTCACCCCAATAACCAAATGAAAAAAAAATGTTCTTACTTTCCTCTAAATGTTACGTCAGTGGTATTGCACGCTGCATTCAAAACATTTTACACCATTTCACTTTTAAACCACTTTGTACAAAAATAAACACTCCAAATGAACGAAAGCACGACCGTTTGTAACATCTGGTCCTGAAACCCACCGGTGCCCATGGAGGGGGGCGGGGGGCACACCCGATGTAGGCTGGCATAAACATCAAATTCCTTCCTCTCAAGTCATCAGTGGCTCAAGTTTTGATATGTATTGCTGTTTTCTCGGCATAATTTATATTTTAATTGGATACAACTGTATTTTAATGTCACAAGGTTGCGTTGTTGAAAGCAATCCCTATGAACCATCAACTGTAACATATGTAGTTCCTTTTTGTAGATGTATAATATACTTTCCGTCTTGTGTCCTCTTACAAAGACACAGTAACCATCCCTTTGTCATGTGTCTAAAGTTATTATTTGTCCATTCAAGAGACATTTCCCTAAAAATGTCTCTTGAATGGAAAATTACTAAATTGCTAAAAGACTTTATAAAAGTCTCCAAAACCATACCAGTTTGTCTAGTCCTCTCTTTTTTCTTAATCATCTCACAATTAAGACTTAGTAGGGGCCGGGAGCCACCTAACTAAGCTCTGTAACTCAATATAAAGAAGGTAATAAGGGGCTCATATTTAAGCTACATCAGTAAAATACTACGTACACATTAAAGCTGCAATGTGTGGTTTCATGTTCAACATGATTTTGAACATATTTTTGCTTAGATGTCTGACATAAGGTCTGTGATTATCACAAGCAGAAGAGATTTTCACGTTTCGTCATACATACATAAATATGTCTGTAAATAACCCACTGGTGAATGTCTAAAGTTTCTATGTGTTATAAAAACAGCATTTGCTGACAAGTATCTTAAATGAGACCACTAAACGCCATCTTGCCAAACAAAAACCGCCTTTAGCTCAGTGGTGGTGATGTTGAGTCATGCAGCCTTGATGTAGTTTGTTTTCTAGTCAAACGTTAAGTTGTATTTCTGGTAATTGTTTTGTTATGTTCCAAAAATCACGAAGTGGTGTGGTGTGGCGATTATCCTGTTGAACAAAACAAAAATCCATTGGAAAAATCCCATTGCTTTTTTTTTTTTAGGAAGCCCTTGCGATGCCTGTATGGGATTAGTTTTGTATCATAAAGATAAACCATCACTTTCTCAGAATAAAGCAAAACTATGAGTTTAAAAGAAAAAAAAACTGAGTCAAGCAAAAATAAAATACATTTCAAAAATAAAACTATAAGTTGCAAACAAATAATTTGTGTAATCATGTAAACTATAATTCTTTTTTCTTTGTTTTAACATAGGTTTTTGTTTGCAGTTCTTGTTTCTTCTTTCTCAATGATCAGACTTTTGCTCTCGCTGCAGCTTTCTCTTTTGCGCTCCCTCATTTTTTGTTT